GTTTCGCCGGTATTGCCATTCTTAGGACCAGGCTACACTTCTTATAAGAGACAAGTGAAGTCAATCCATTAATAATCTTTGTGCCGAATGGTCATGTTATCACTCCTGTCCTGGTACAACAGCCTACTCCCTACTCTCGTATCTCCCTTCCTCCCTATCACAACTTCTGACTTTCCATATTAAACTCTTATAGAGGTGTTCTCTTTTCATCGAATTTAGTGGGGCGTACTCATGCCTGCTTGCTTACCTTATCACCTCTCCCTCTCGATTTACCGGAATTGCTGATCTGACTCGAATCTTCCTCATAGCCCCGGAGATTCGCTTTTTATCTTTCATGTTTGACTAATTTCACTCGGTTTCGGTAAAAGAATACGTTTTATTACTAGAGCTATTTCTCAATCCTCTGGTAGTACGTACACTCTGGTCTCACTGAGCAAAGCGCCTAGGATCTGAATCCCCTTCTTGCAGATATTAGGCATTGTCTCCACAGGCCATCTCTTTGACTCAACATGTGTACCCCGAGCAAATTGTGAAAGTTTATCTCTAGTCTCCTGCTACATCTCGGTGATGGTAGCAGACAAATGTATTGGGACAAAATACAACTGTTCCGCAGAAAGATGCTTAAGGAATTGACTTTACTTGTCTCCTTGACGAATTATAAATTGGTGGTAAGAGTGGCAAAACTTACTGACGACGTAGGCAAACGTCTGGGTATATACCAAGTTCACGATCCGATGCTGGGTCTTATCATAATAATTATAGTAAATGACTTAGGACAAGGCGAGTCAAACTAGGCCGCCCTAACAACACGACGAAGTTGCGAAAATGAGGTTAGACCACGTCTAAGCAAATAATTTCCCGTCGCTATTGCATATAAGTCCCTAATCCCCTGATATTAAGTAATTTGCCGTCAAGCCATTAAAGCAAAGTGCATGCGCTCTCAAATACGTATGCACCTTTTTATTGCGTTCTTGTGCACCTTTTTGACAGAGGTCAATCTTAGTGTTATGATTTCCGGGAGCTTTGGTTATTCATTCTAGCCCATCTTCACCCCTATTCTGCTGCATAATTGGGCTTGTGTATATTGTACGCAGTCTGCAGTTTTGGGCTGATGGTGATAGGTAGATGACGATAGCAGGGGATCGAGCAATAGATTTGACGTCGATTTATACAGAAAATTAATCGGTTCCTCTTGTTCGGGCTGAAGCGGGAAAGAGTACATTCTAGGGTAACTGATTCCAGTGTTCCTTTTCCCGGTGTACTTGGAATTCGAACTCGCATACCGTGGCCAAGTGAAGCGTCCTATCTGCTAGCTGGCTAACAACCGTCGGCTTTCTCAGATCTCTCGTTTTCCCCTCCTTTTTGGACTGCTTGCGTTCAGACCTTTCAGTTCCTCCTAACTCTCATCTCCATTCTTCGCCTCCTAGCTCAGCTTCCTCACCCGTAACTTCATCTTTTTGGACACTCTCATCCTCTCCTACATTTTCTTTACTCATTCATCTTTACTCTACATTGCTTTATTGTGTGCAATTAACTATCCCGGCATCTGGCCTGCTATTTGGCCTATTTAATGCTCAAATTTTGCTTAACTCACCTTTTGGTTCCCTCTTCAGCCCGTTTTTCTTTTCCATACTTCCACTGCTTTTGCCTGCTCCATCAGTTGCTTTGTCATGGCTCTATTGACCTCTCTCGGCCAAGGTTTTGAGCTCTACCTCAGTTCGCTCGATCCAACCTCATCTCTCACCCACTAACTTTCCTCCTTAGCCCTCGCGTCTCTGTTTCGCATTCTCTATCTCTTTTTCGCTCGTTTGGTTTCGGTCGCCAGCTCGCTTCCAGGCCTCGCTACTAGCCCTGAATTCATCTGGCTGGCTAGGTTGCTGGCCGGCTCGTCGCCTCTTCCTCCTTCTTGAACCGTCTTGTGTTCTCACATCTGCTCCTGCCTATCATTGGTCCCTACGGTGAGCTAAGCAGAGAATTTCAGAGACAAACTCCTGAGGCACCTCTGACTCCTGCCTTTTATGAATCGAGGCTGTGTTGTATCATTGGCTTTGTGGCTGGTCTCTCCTACACAGGCCATGGCGACAACCAACGATGTCTTCAACTTTCCACCAAGTCGTGCCCAGTCTTCCCCGGCCAAGAGTCGGTATGACAAGTGATAAAGTTTGGCCTATCGATTTTATTCACTTAGGTCCAGTGTCTCAGTTCAGGTTTGGCTGTGTGCCGGGGGATTGCGTGATCCCCCTTTTCTTGCAGCGGATACCTAGTTTTGTGGTTTACTCAGAAGGCGCAAGTGAACATTTAACCTGATATCTCGATGGTGATAATCAGGCAAATCTGCTGACAGGCCTGCGAGCAAGATGTTCATCTCTGCCCACAGACTGATCCGCTTTCTCCTCATAATCTCTGGGTGATTTATTAATAGCTCTGACTATGAAAAGGAACTCCACCTAACGTTATCATGCAAGCGTAAGTGTACATCGTTTGATGAGCTTTTCTTTCAACTAATTTCTTACTTTAAAACCACTTCAAGTGATTTTTGGGGCTTCTGTAATCTGGCATACTCGTGAGCACTGAGTCTTGTTTTAATTCAGTCTCATTTAAAATTCACTCGAGAGTTTATTTTGATGTGAATGTTGGTCGAAAGGGATTCGTCAATTGTCAGTGCAAGAAAGCGAAGAGGGATTGGCTTAGAGTAATTATTGTTGGAACATTCGAAGAAGTTCTCGGTTTACCACCCAGAGATCCCGATTAACCCGCGCTGGGCCTTCCACCTTCATGTGATGAAAAACGTCGGAGAAGGCATACATTGTGCAAAGGCGAACAAATATATTTCGCCAATAGAAAGAGAGGCCGGCTGCAAGCTATCACACATTTTATATCTATTTTTCTCTACCATAATTAGGCTACTTCATGCTCTCCCTAATTGATTGAGGATGAATAAAGTTATTTCAGGCAGCAGAAGTGGAAACGCTCCTAAATTTTATCTGGCATATATAAACCAGGGCATGATTATACAATGGTGAAGCATGTTTGGCATGTGACATTGTGTATCATAATTGACTAATCTTTACCATACCAGAGGCCACAACAACTTGGTCTTCATATCTTAAAGTAATCTTTAAATCATTTGAAATGTAATAACCCAAACCAGACTTGAGGCTATTTGAGCCTCTGTTTAAGCTGTTATTATTTCGCCGTCTCTATCTTTTCCTTTTATTGAGTCTAACCAACAGTTATAACTACTTTCCTTTCAATTTCCCGTACTCGTTATTCCTATCCCGAATGCTGACTGTTTTATTTATTTCCAGAGACAGTCTTATCTTACGCTTGGATGGAAAGTCCCATAACTCCCAATACGCTATGCTTTTTACCATTCTATTATGCGACCTGAATTATAATTGTGCTCAGCGAGGTCACATTTTCGGAGCCATAGACCCTTAAAAGTGGTTTGGTGTTTAGACGAAATTCTGCGACAC